ACAGAGCTTAAACAAAGAGAAAGGCACTACATTACCTACATTCATCTGCCTGGCCTTCCTATCACTGCTGATCTACAGCTTACTAAACAGCTAAGTGCACACATTCTTCATTTCTTTATGACTTGCATGGAGGATACAAGTAAATCTAATGCTTCACAATGATGTATGAGAGTTTAAAACTTGGTAACCACTGTCATGGATCATTGTAATTTCCTGCAGACACACCTAGACAGAGCCCCATCAGTTGATTTATACTGAAGTTTTACACTTCTTAGACGAATAAATAAACTGATTTTTTACAGACAAACAAATGAACGTTGTCAAAGACAAGGAAATAATGAAACATCCAAGCTACTTTACAGGAACCTCACTTCTACCTTCAGTTTCAAGAGAAAGCCCCTGTAAGCTAAACTTTGGGAAAGCAGCAATCCAGATGCTTGGATGCCTCAAAGATGGGGCATCCACAATTGCTCTGGGAAACCTGTTTGAGTGCCTTGCTTCTCCCTGGGTAAAGTATTTTTCCCTAATATCTAATCTAAACCTACTCTGTTTTGGTTTAAAGCTATTCCCTCTTGCCCTGTTGCTACATGCACTTGTAAAAATCCCCCTCCATTTTCCTTGTAGGGTCCTTTCAGGTGCTCAAAGGCTGCAATTAGGTTAACTCCAAAGCCTTCCCCTTCTCCAGGCTGAACAATCCCAATTTTCTCAACATTTCCTCATAGGAGAGGTGCTCTATCCCTCTCACCATCTTGGTGGCCTCCTCTGGACTCACTCCTGCAGGTCTGTGTCCTCCCTGTGCTGGGACCCCAGAGCTGGATGCAGCACTGCAGGGTGGGGCCTCACTACAGCAGAGAGAAGGGGCAGAATCACTTTTCTTGACCTGCTCACCACACTGCTTTTGACACTGCCCAGGTGATGGTTGATTTTCTAGGCTGCAAGTGTGCAATTGCCAGCTCACGTCCAACTGTCTTTTATGTGAAACCAAATGCTAAAATAATCCTTAAAAAAATATACACTTTAGTTGTGAGAGAAAAAACATATAAAAATCATTGTAGGAAATATTTTGCCTCCATTTTGAGGAATCAGAAATCGGTGCAGTGTCATATCTCCAGTGGCCCCTTCTGAAATACTGAATTATCCCTATATGAAGGTGCCTGCTGATTTAAAACTAGAGGCTTCTAACTTCAGCTTACAGCTCCTGGGTTTTGATGAAGATAGGACTGGACCAGGAAATGCTTTCTGATTTGGTGCCTCACTGGTGAAGATCAGTATCATATTCTCAGCCACTGTATGTTTTGCTTTCTTCTTGATCAGGTCACAGGTGTTATTGAATGCTGTGCTTGGGAGGGAGAGGGGTTTTTGTTTGGTGGGGTGTTTTTTTTAATATCACCCAGATGTATTGTTTCAACACCCTCATTTTATTCCTCAGATATATCAAAGAACGTTTGCATGATGTTTAGCCAAAGTAGTTGTTGTCCTCTTATTGCAAAGGTTCCCATACCTTCTTGGTGATTCCTCACGGTCAGCTCCTTGCAGCACTGACTTCGTCGCAGCACAGCAAACAAACTCCAACTCTCTCCTCACCCAGCTAACCCACTCTTTTGTCACACTCCTCTTCTTACTGGACACAGCTGTGGCCTGTTAAGGGCAGGCCTGTTCCTAATCTTTGGTGATTAGTACAGCTGCAACTCCTCAGGTGTGAGATCACCTTCTGTACTATCTTTATTTTCTTACATTCTATTCCTCCATAAGTACTCATAGATATTTGATTATTCCTTTGCACAATTTCATCAGCCATGTCTATGATTAACACTTACAATATATTTGATTGCATTTATGCAATATAAATACTTACCTGTCCTTTAAGTAAAATGGTTTATTACTTAGTGTGATGTCCCATTCTGCAACTCCTTCCAAGATTTTAAAAGTGCCTCAGAGCTGTGTTTTTCTCAGACTGCTTTGGGTTAGTCTCTGTAAGGAAGCTTCATGCAGTATCATAACTTGGGTGTTCCCCATTTTTCCCAGAGACAAACCAAAAAATACACACACACAAACTCCAAAAAAGTGTTGGTGTCACCTGGTGTGAAGCAGAAGCAGCTTCTTCCAGCATGAGGCAACCAGAGAATTCTAAGCCCTCTTGGTGCTTAATTTCACCTCAACACAAACGAGAGGCAGAATAAGAATAGCAACCACCTCTGTACCTCCTTCACTCAAAATTTACCAACAAAGCACAGTTCCTCTGACACATTGCTGTTTTGCTAATCCATAGAACACTCGTCAAGGCAGCATGACTGTAGGAGATAAAGGAAAGGATACATATAATTAATCCTTATAATCAGAGAGGATATCAAGAACATTTGTCTTAATTTGCTCTCAGACTTCTGGGGCACTTTACAGCTCTTGTCTGGCAGACACACTTGCTTTGAAATCACTGGGACAAATCTGACTCTTGTGTATAAAGGGATCATACTCTACCAAAGCAACTCCGTTAGCATAAATAGCTGCAAAGGAAGAAAAACCTTCAAATTAACTTTAGTAGTGAATTATTTGGCCATTTAAAATTGCCTTCTGTTACCTAACTTAGGTTTTCTAACTGCAGCAATGAAAGGAAGCATTACCAAAAATCAACTGAAATAAAAAGATTTCTTAACACCAATGCAGCTTGAAAAAGCAGGCATTCTTTATTCAGCCAGATGCACAAGGGGATATCTCCTCCAAAAATCCTGCATGCCTAGTAGAGTAAAAGCTCTTATTCAAGTACTGCACATTACATATATGTTCATTGATTCTCTCAGAATAAACATATAGATGACAATTATTTCTCCAAAATTATTGAACAATTCCCCTTGACACATCCAGTCTTTCTGTGCCGGGAGACTCTTTGGTAGTCCCCGGTGCTCAATGATCCCAAAGTCATCCCTGACTGCCTGGTGAATTGGTGAAAGTCGGCACAACTGGGTTGGCTGCTTTCCAGTTCTTCCTACAGAATAAGCATTGTGCAGTTTCACAGGCCAGTGGTTTTTGAGGAACAAGCATTTTATTAGTCCATGAGATGCCATAAAGAGAAGTATTACCATGTAGAGAAACATTTCAGTTTAAAGCAGGTGACAAAACACTTCATTTTGTGGCATGTGTGCTGCAAAGACATAGCATGTGAAAACAAGATTTTTGGTGCTGTTGCCTGCTAAAATCTCATCTCAGGTAACTGCAAGTGCTGGTATCACATGTGCCTGCAGCTAATGGTTACAGCTCCCACAGAGCCCAGCACCTCTGTATCTTCCTGGCATTGCCTTTCCCTGGCAGGCATCTGGTTTTGGAGAGATGCTTACAAGGCATGTAAAGCTATAGGTCTTAGCACTAAGCATTGGTGTTTGCAGGAGACAAAAAACATCCAAACTCCAACAAAACATCCAAGCTGAGCAGAAAGCAACTTTGGGAACACTTTAAAAAATAGTGCATTTTATGAGCAATGAAATCCAGTCGGCAAGCCACTCTATTTGTAAAGTCACATTTAATAGTCCTGCTAAATTATGTCAAAGTGACATAACACTGTTCAGGAAACATTTCAGAACCTTTACATCAATTTTAAGGTACTCACAAGCAATGAAACCAGAAATTAAAAGTATATCTGTTTTTGTGATGATAAACAATTTTACAACCCCCTCAGGAATAGCTTCTGTGTTGTCTGTGGACTTTGAACAGATGCATAATAACACTAAAATAATTCAAATAGCCTCTCTGAGACATACCACCCTCTTAATCTTATGATTTTGGTTTGCTGTAGAAGTCATGCACACACACAGAATAAGAAAAAGCTATGAGGAAAAAGATATATAAATCAGACTTTCCTGAGGTAAATTTTAATTAAAATTTAATTAAATAAAATTTTGCCTTTCATTTTTATAGGTGACAGCATTTATTCCATTTTTCATATTCTGCATAGGTGATAAGTAGCAATCAAGGAGTCAGTAGTAAACAAAAAATGTTTTATTTTCTGGAAGTACCAATCAACAGACTTCAATATTGATAGCAAAACCGACCATTATATATCAGTTTTATATAATTCCCATTGTTTTGATCCTGATTTTGTCCTAACATTCTGTTGTGAGAAGCTTTCCAGTGAATTTAATGCCCTTAACACTCAAAGAGCAATTTTTCAAGTGTTTATATTTTGATTGCATATGGATTTCCTTAAGTATTTTGTGTCACCAAGAAAACAATCTGTTTTTTACTAACAGAAGCCAAAGGGAAGCCACCCTCTCAGCTCTGAGCCCAAGAATACTCAATCTAAAGGAATGCAAGTGATTCTAGGGTTTGTAAATTTTGTATTGTTTCACATCCTGTGCTTTTTTTAAACAAGGTTTTAAGATAAACACAAGAGTGTACACAATGTGCCACTATGAATCATATTAAGTCTGGAACATTGGGTAGAAGTTTGATTTTAACCATTCTAGAAATAGCCACAAATCTAAAAACTCTTTGGTCAAAACACAAACAATACAACAAGAATTTGTTCTTGCTATACAGGACACATCACTCCTGTAGGGGAAGCAGCAACTTACAGAAGAACTTGTCAAAAATAGCAATTTTGTTGTTGTTGTTGCTACTACATCAAATATCCTCACTTATTTTACAACTTTACCTGGAAATATATTTACTCTAAAAAGCAAGCCTTCAAGCTTTCATACTATTGCACAAAACTTTGGCCATACACTGGTAAAATGCTGTATATAATGGTGTAATATGCTATAACTTATTGAAAGGCTGTTCTTAATTAAAGTTACAGACTGCTCAAGAATCATCTCTGTTTTGAAAAGTAGATAGTCTGACAAATGAGTTTTTTTTAAAAATAAATCAGAAGTAAAACTGGAATTATGTACAGTGAGTGAAGGTCATCTGCACATTTGGGATAAATTCACACCTAGAAATATTTTTTTAATATAATTTAATTGAAAAAGTCTAAGAATAATTTAAAATGCTAAATAATCAAAATGGATTATTTCCAGTTAGATTTCAAGAATTTGTCATACAGGAAATATTTTATTCTCTCATTTTTTTGCAAAATTCTGTTCCAAAACATTTTAATATATTTGCCTGCTCCTACTCTATGTTGTGGCAGCTGCAGAGAGGAAAATAAAGATACTTCTTCACTCTGATAAATAGGTAAAATAGATCTCTGAAAACAATGGTATAAGAATTAACATTCAAAAGATGCTCCAAGAGCTTTCATATTCCTGAGGTGAAAGTAGTTACACCTCCACTACACTAGCAACACTGAATATGCATTTTTATCACTTTTCCTCTGCTGCTCTCTGCACTGACTTCAGATAAATTTCACCTGGTACAAAATAGTTCTTATCTGGAATAGCCTGTTACACAGCACTGACCACCCCCTCCATATCTCAGGGATTTATGGAAGATGAAATAACCAGTGTGTGAGTGTGAGCTACATGGAAACAGTAACGATTAATGAGGATCAAATTAAAAACCTGAACACACACACAGAATGTCAAACACTGCTTCTCACATCTAAGGCACTTCCAATTAGTTAATAGATAAAATTTCTGGTCCAGCAGCTCTCAGAGATTCCAGTGTTGCGGATCTGTGATGCTTGTATGGTCAGGCAGTCAAGGCCATCAAAAGCAATCAGAAGTTTCTGAAAATTCAGGAGAGAACACATAGCATCAGGGCAGTACCACCCTCTGATACCTTGAGATAATACTACATATATATATAAGATTTGCTCAACACTTAAGACTGACAGGAGAATGCTGATAGGTAACGTTAATAGCAAAAACAAAAGCCAAACCAAACAAACGCATAGCACAAAACGCAGTAATTTACAAAACAGGTATCCTAACACCAATAGAAACTCTCTAGATCTGAGGAACTTGCTCCACTCTGACAAGCCACTGCAATGGATGGTTACTTGTTAATAAGAAGATTCATTTATTTCAAGTTTAAATATTTCTTCTTTCACAAGTCAGATACTGATCTCTTATCAAAGTTTGTTCTCACTGTTATAAATAGGTTTTTCAGCACTTAAATTTCTCCTTGATAAGTTAAATAGACTGAAAATCTTTAGGAACTATTTAAAGGCCTATTTTCTACTTGTTCTTCTACTCTTTTTTGTTTCTTTTCTGAATCTTCTTCAATACCTTTTTTGTTTCCATTATATTACAAAAGTTTCATAGTGCTGTTTCCTTAGTGCAAGAGTTTTGTACCTCCTTGATGTTTCTCATGGGCATCTCCTCCAAGCGCCTCTTTCTTCTCACAACAGCAAACTGACTCCAGGCCCCCTCAACCAACCAATCCACTCTTTTATAATACTCTTCTTACTGGCTACAGCTGCAGCCTGTTAAAGTCAGGCCTGCTCCTAATCTTTAATAATTAACCCAGCTGCAACTCTTTAGGGGGTAAGATTACTTTCTATACTACCTTTATTAACTTATATTCTATCCCCCTACACTTTTTTTTGTTTGTAAATTATAGACTTCAGAACTGAATGTAGCATTCTTTCAGTAGCCTCATCAACATCAAAGGGAATACAGGTATTAGCAAGAACATATAATTCCAGCATTAAACATTATTGTCTTGATATTGTTCCTTAAACTCATTAATAGATTCTCAGTGGAAAAATGCATCATGAAAAAACCAATTTGACATTCTGCCCATGACATTTATTTTGCAAAGCCTCTCCATAGGTCTCAGTTCTCTTGGCACAACCTTCCCATTCTGTTGTTCTCCACAAAATGGATTCCAACCCTTCGAATTGTCATTGACATCCCCTAGAGCACATTTTTTGAAAAACACATGCTCTTTTTTATTTCTTTCATTCTTTCTCTGTGCTTTCCAGAAAAAATTCAACTGTGGGAAGGAGCTTAAGTGAGAGTTTAAGTGAAAAGACTGATGAAAAAGCAGTCTTAGAGTTTTGATTTCTCTTAATTACTCTAGAGCAGATGCTCTCTCTGATTTGAATCAAATGGACCCAAGTGAAATGCTTTGTGGGTTGACTTACCTGAACAAGGAGCTATGAAACTGGGGAGGCAGATGGTAAAGGTGACACTGAGAATGGGCAGTGAGAGGCAGATCAGCAAGAATAATTTACTCCTGCTAGGCTTGGAATGCCAGCAAGAAAGGAGATACCTCAGCAGAACCTTGCTCATTTCACCAGGTGTTTCCCAGGACACATCATGCCTACACAGCGTGTTGGAACAGGAGAGTGGGCCAGGCCCCAGCAGTCTGGGCTGGCATGGAGAGGATGCAGTGTGAGGGCAGCCAGTGAACGAGGAGCTGAGGCATTTGGCAGAGCAGCCACAAAGCCTGGCCATCTCTGATGGGTGCAAACTGCTCCCTCCCACCTGCACCAAGGAGCACTCACACATTTGTCCAAGGGAGCACTCACACATTTGTATGAGGGAGCACTCACACATTTGTCCGAGGGAGCACTCACACGTTTGTATGAGGGAGCACTCACACATTTGTACGAGGGAGCACTCACACATTTGTACGAGGGAGCACTCACACACTGTATGAGGGAGCACTCACACACTGTACGAGGGAGCACTCACACATTTGTACGAGGGAGCACTCACACATTTGTATGAGGGAGCACTCACACATTTGTACGAGGGAGCACTTCACACATTGTACGAGGGAGCACTCACACATTTAAATGAGGGAGCACTCACACACTGTATGAGGGAGCACTCACACATTTGTACGAGGGAGCACTCACACATTTGTACAGCAGCAGCACTGGCTCAGAGGCTGTGCTCGTTCTGCTGGCTTACCTGTCTGGCGCTGGGGCTCTGTGGGGTGGGGCAGACACACAGACACGCAGACCACAGACACACCATGAGCATCAGCAGATATGTCCAGGCCAAGTGCTGTCTTCAGCAGCTGCCTTGGTTCAATGGAGCAGTTATGAGTGTCCTGAGAAAAAAATCACAGCCTTTGAGGAATCAATCATATGATCCTCAGCAGACAATATTACTCTTATCTATTAATTATATTTTACTAGAAATAAAGCTTGGGTTCTTTCTGAGAGAGATATTTTTTCCTACATGGATTCTACTTTGATAGTAAACACAACACAAAGATAATCTGTGCAATATCTAATGTTGCTTTATCCCTAAGACCTCTAAAAAATTGAAAATACATTGAGATGCTACCTTTCGAGATGTAGACTGCAGTTGCTGAGGATCTTTTAATTATGTTTAATTACACTAATTACATTAAAAATATATATTTAAAACCTCTGTAAGAGAAAACCACACTTGGCTCAAGTACACCTCAGTGTGTTGGTTTTAGGTTAATTTTTAAAGGTAGAGTTTTTCCTTTCATCTATTCCATATTATCTTTCTAAATTTAGAATTTTCATATGAATATTAAGTTAACAGCAAGCAACTCACATATAATGTCTGTATAACATCTTATTTAGTTATAACATCTTTCAAACATTAACTCTGGTGGCACTTTACTCTTTATGGGTGTTTGTGAGCAAAGATAGCAAGGAATAAAATATTTCTTGATTCCTTCTACTCATAGGAGAAACAGCTCATAGCCATACCCTGAAACGCATGGAAAAATGACAGAAACCTCCTGCAGACAGGATATTCCTGTGTGTGAAAGTCATTGTATGAAAAAAAAAGCCATATGGAAACAAAACTGAGATAAATTCAGGGAATTAAACGCCAACAACCACAAAGGTGTTTGCACAAAAAGGAAAACACACAGGCAACAACAAAACAAAACAGCTCAGGCATTCTGAGTCGTTTGCCTCAGTTTTCCCACCCACTGATATGAAGACCCAGTATTGAAGACCTCTGGTCCCTTGCAGTTTTCACACCTACCCTGCATGCTATCCATGGTCAGTGAAGCTACAGAGCTTGTCTTACACATCCTTACACACCCTTACACAGCCCCCAGTCAGTCCCCACGTGCCATCAGGAGGATGCTCCTGTCACGGTGTCCTGCTCTCCTCTTGGCTCTCCCCGAGTGAGCCTTCATGGTCCTCTGCCTTTCACACAGCCCTGGAAAGGGATTGCTGTGCTTCCAAACTGTCCAACAATTATTGCTTTACAAGTATTATGATCTCTGTGTCAGTACTTTTAACCCTCACTATGAAATCCACTCTGCAAAGCCCCAGAGGCCTTTCTCCCTTCTCTCTGAGGCTCTGAACGTCCACAGGCCGTGACCCGGGGCTGGGACTGGGTTATGCAGAAGCCTCGCTCACCCTGCATCAAACTGGAACCATTTTCTGCTTGTTCAATCCCTGAGAACAATCCCACCTCGTTACCTCTGCAAGCAGAGTTTGGGAGCTGCCGGCTCCCGACCTTCCGCCCTGCTATCAATAGATGGCAGCAAGCAGCTCCTGCTTCCCCGGCTCCCGGCGGGATCAGGGAGCGGCTTCCCCGCAGGCCTCACACGCCCGGGTTAACAGCCTGGGCTCAGAGCAGCGGAACGGAGCTGTCCCTGCAGTAAAACCTCCCGACATGTTTGCAGTACACTTACAGCAGGTCAATAACAGGAACTAAAATACACTTTACGCTTGAGCTTACTTGGATCTTTACTGGTGTGGGTGAAAGTCCTAAAATGGTGTATGGGAATGACAGAAGGCAATAGTCAAATCATGTCACGATGCCACTTGCACCAAATTAAACCACAAGTTTTAACTCACATTGGGGTGAAACTTTGGTACAGCCCCGCTGCACAATTTGATTGGTTTGTGTGTTTAGAAGATGCAACTTGTATTACATGAAAATTTCAATGTGTATTAAAAATAACTTTTCCCCAGCAAAGATTAGTCCTTCAGGAGTGTCTCAAAACTACTGCATCCTCCTTCTTTGCACTCAATGTGACTCTTTTTCGTCTGGACCAAATTTTTAACTTCCTCTTTTGCCACTTCGTCTCTTCAAAATAATACTTTTTCTGTTCACAGGATGTCTCTCTAATCACAAATAACTTTTCCTCACATCTCACACTCTCCCCCCCCCCCCACATATCGCTTCTTAGCATCCCATCCTGTCTGTCCCTCCTTTTCACCATTTCTTGTGCTCTTAGAGTGAAAAATCTCCACATTAAAGCATCTCTTTGCTGTCTGTCCCATGTGTCTTAAATTCACTGAGTTGGACATGTTATCTAAACTGGCCAAGTGATCTGGTGACCTCTGAAGGATGCATGAAATGGGAATGAATATGGCTGAGTCTTGCTGCTGCCATACAAATGGAGACACTGTGTTGGGACTGCTTGGGAGACAGATTTTACTATGATATTTGATATATCTGCTCATAAATGTAAATTTTTAAGCAACAAAGCTGTTAAAGCAAATCGTTAATAACTTTTTTCCACACAAAGGATGTCTCAATATAATATCCTGAACAGATAAATCCAGTAAAAGAGGAAAATACACCTTCTTCAAAGCATTTCAATTAAGAGTATTGAACTTCATTGTTCAACTTCAATATTAAAAGGACTCAGAACATTGACTTCAAGACCTTTAATTTCCTGCACCTTATGATATACTTCTGGGAACTAATTTTGCAAAGAAAGAAAAATATTTTGCTATTATTTTCAGTAGCCAACCTAGTATTTCTGCTTAAGACTTCCCAAGTTCTGGAGCAATTAGCAGTTTCTTGTGCAGATTTTGACTGAGTTAAAATGCAAAGTCTACAGTCTCAGTGTCCTGCATGTCTACAGCAGAAAGTGATGTGAGTATCAATGGCAGCTAAAACGACATTAAATTCTGGCTTCTTTGTCAGCAGTGCCACAGTATGCTTGATAGGTGATGTGGTTAGTTGAGCTGGAAAGAGATGGCTAGAATTGTGGAGGGATTTAACATTTTCATTTTGTAGCCTAATACTTGGCTAAGTTGACTAGTTGGGGAATAGTTGAATAGTTGGGGAATATATGTACTGGACAAGCTGGAAGTGCCTCAGCACATCACAGACCTCTCCCAGCAAGTTTAAGAACTCTTTTCTCATTTCTCTTTTTTCTTTTTTTTTTTCTTTTTTTTTTTGTTTTTTTTTGATTTGTTTTTAGGGTTGTTTTGGTGGTGGTGGTGGTGGTGGTGGTTTTGTGGGTGGGTTTTTTGGTTTTTTGTTGGTTTTGGTTTTTTTTCCTCTTTCTCCCTTCCATCAGAAAGTTTTGTTGTTTGGAATTCACAAAGACAAACCTAGTTCACCACGGATTGAAGCCTTTATCATCCACTTGTTTTTATGGGCTCTTCTGGCTTCACTGGTCACAATCTCTCTGAGAATTCCTTTGGGGATTTTGAGCAAAATCATGTAGTTAATATCACTTTGTCTTTAAATTTTAGCTAGCTGACATCAGGCTTGTTTTCTTGAAGCTTTTTTTTTGTTCCAGTTTTTTATTCAAAAGCCAAATATTCAGACTTACCACAGAAGTCTTTCCTTGTTTTTTTTACGCTGTCAGAATAACACTCAAGTATTCCTGCAGACATCTCCAAGCATGTTTAAGCTTCAGGTTGGGGAGGACTTTCTGCCAAGATTAAAAGAGGCAAAGGAGAGTCATGAGCTTAAGTGGAAAAGATTTCCTCAGAAGGGTGAAAACCAACAGTTTTCCTGTGAAGTTCTGATAACAGAGAGATAGCCCAGGGCTGCAATCAGAGGTAAAACCCCTCGTGCTTGTTAATAAATTCTCCTTTTCTAAGCAACAGAGATCACTGCAGAAAGGTATAACTGAGGAGACGTGGATTGCTGTAGATAATTTATGGTATGCAATTCTATTTCAACTTATCAAAAATGTGCAGAGGAGGGAAGTGACACCTACACTTGCAGCCAGAGGGTGGCCATGGATTTATTTCTGCTGCACTGGAAGCTGCATCCCCCTCTTCTGTCACGATTATTTGCACATCCAGTACCCAGTCAAAGTGCAGTCACATCCTTGCTGTGTGGCAGTGTCAGTCATGGGACTGTGGAGTGAGGGAGCAGGCAGAACAGCTAGCTCCTCTGTTCATCCTTGCAGGTCATGGATGTTGCAGGATGCACATCTGGCACGTGTCAAAAAGGAGCATTGCTTTTCACACAGTGGGTGTGTGATTGGTCATGGCAGGGAAACTGCTGCAGAGACCTGGAAATCTGCCAGCAGAAAGGACTTTGGGGTGCTGGCTGACAGTGGCAAGCAGGAGCCAGCATGTCACAGTTAAGACAAGCAGAGCAATGGCACCCTGGCCTGTGTCAGCGATAGTGTGGCCAGCAGGACCAGGGCAGGGATTGTCCCCCTGTACCCAGCACTGGTGAGGCCACACCTCAAATCCTGTGTTCTGTTCTGGGCCTCTCAGTACAAGAAGGACATTGAGGTGCTGCAGAGAGTTCAGAGAAGGGCAATGGTGGTGAAGGGTCTGGAGCACAAGTCCTGTGAGGAGTGGCTGAGGGAGCTGGGGGTGTTTAGCCTGGAGAAAAGGAGGCTCAGGGACGTCATCGCTCTCTACAAGTGCTTGATAGGAGGTTGTAGCCAAGTGGGAGTCAGTCTCTTCTCCCAAGTAAAAAGTGACAGAAGAGCAAGCAGCCTCAAGTTGTTCCAGGGGAGGTTTAGACATACTGTTAGGGAAAATTCCTTCCCAAAATGTTGTCAAGCATTGGAACAGGCTGGCCAGGGAAAAGGTTGAATCACTGTCCCTAGAGGTATTTAAAAGACACAGATATGACACTCAGGGACATAGTTTTGTGGAGGACTTCACAGTACTAGGTTTGCAGTTCGACTAGGTGATCTTGAAAGTCTTTTCCAACCATAACAGTTCTGTAATTCTGTGAAATGAGAGCAGCTTCTGATGGACACCACAGTATTTTGGCTCTGTGACCCCTTCCCAGACACAAAAATAGCAGACAGTTCTTAGATGCACACAGGCAACGGCAACAGAATAACACTGTAGAAGGCAAGAATTTTACTATAAAGTACATCTGGCATGTGAACCACATCTCAACTAATACTGGTTTGATGATCAAAAACTTCTGAAAATTATCTATCATTCTTAACAGATTATATAACTAAAGGAAAGCAGAGTAGTGGCAATGAATAACACAATGCACAGTCTTCACTGAAAGCTAATCCACTAAGCAACATGCAGTCTATACCCTCCGGGAAAATATTTTCTGTCATGGAGAATCTTTTCTATGAGAGTTAAGATGCTGTTCTGCAAACCAGTAAGAAGTTCTGCTCTGTACTGCACACAATTAGGAATTGTTACGTAGGTGAAACCCTGTTTTGTCATGCTTTACAAATGGACATCAGTGAACTAGTCTTTTACAACTTAATCAAGATAAAAATTACATTTCATTACCTAAAAAATTTCATTCATGCAGTGATCTCAAAGTAAAGGATGAATATTTTAGATCTTTTTATTAATCAGATCTTGTACCACACAGACCAATTTCAGTATGATTCCCCTGGCAATGTTTCTGCAAACTGCATCTCACCTCAGGGTATTGACAACAATTGTACCAGATTCCCACTGCTTGTTTCATCTTCTTGCAGCTGTTTGCAGTATTGTAGTCATACATGACAATTTAAGGGGAGACTGCCTTAAGTGGAAGTGGACTGCCTTCCCTGTGCCATTTTTACAAGGCTTATTCCCATCTCTCCATCTCCTTTCACCAGCAGAACAGTGAACTCTGTGACCAGGAACCAGTTGGAGGGTAAGCAGCAGCACCTGCCGCCTTCCCTTGCTGCACACGTTTGAGGTACCGCAGTCCCCTCACTAATTTACTGTGGGTCAGGCTGGTGATGCCTTCTGGTCTCTTTCTCTAATTCTGCTACCACCAACCATCTGTCTTCTGCAGAGATTTCAAATGCTTTTCAAAGCTTTTAGAAATAAGAGATTTTATGTCTGAATAATATTCTGTGATCTTATTTTCAATATGTATTGTGCCCTGTTTGTTATCTAGGGGGGTTTTACCTTTTTAATTTTTTTTAAATTTAGAACCATGGAAGCTGTTGGATCATGGCCACCTTTTCAATTCTTTAACCAGGCTTTTCAATGAAAAGGGGGTATCTTGAATTTTTAAACTAGTTCCTCCTACTCTTTACTCTTTTTTGTTTGTTTTTTCGAATAGGATGTGTTTAGGCATCACAGCAGGTTGTGTGATATACTTCATTTTTCATCAGTTTCTTGTCTTGAGACAGCATGAACAGTTAAATTTGCAGAATTTTACATACTGGGCAGATATAAGAGCCTTTGTAAGTCATCAAGCTTCATTCAGTCCTCACTTCAGAGAGTTCCAAATAGCATTATCATCACATCCTGTTTTCTTCACTATTACTTAAGGCTCTTTCTGTGATGGCATAATTTTTTTTCTACAAGGGGGCCAGAAAAAGAAGAATGCAATTGGAGGCAATAGAGAGAAGCTGCCTTCTCAGAAACATAGCAGAGGTGGTAGAAGAGAATTGAGTTAGCCCTCAAAAAAATTGAGAAATGGAAATAAGTTTGTGTTACTGTACTTGGGAAAGGCAGAAACAGTGAAGCAGGATGGAGAGGAAAACACCTTTGGATCTATGAAGAAGGAATGTGTGCTTTGTAACATTCTCTGAAGTAGCATGGAAAGGATGTATTTACTAGGTCCGAACAACCATGTGATAATTTTTGAAGAAAACAACTTTAGTGTGCAGAGTGAAAGATGAGAATTTAGATGTCAAGGTGGCAGTTTTCTTTTGTTTTATGGAGTTCTCTTGACACTGTATAGAAATCCATTAGCTACCCTGCTTACGGCTCTAATACCTCAATTTCTCCATTCCATTTAATATTGCTGGTGAGACCTGCAGCATTTCTTATTCTGAAGGCCTTGAGATATTTCCAAGATGCATTATTTCATTGTTATTTTTTGTACCCTTTAAAAAGAAGTGTGCAGTGTCAATCCTGTTACCATTATCTCATTGTGTGCACAGTCAAGGTAAATGTAGTCATTATAAACTTATTTTCCCTGTAACTTTGCTCAGAATGCTAAGAAAGTATTAGCGCTTTTTCTTTATTTCTTTAATTTAGAATAAGGACTGTGGTGGTTTGACCAGGAAGGAGTGGGAATTCTGGGAAGCTGTGGTCAAACCAATGAAGGTTTTGGGTTTGAGACTGGCACCCGGTGTAGCCAGTGGGGTTTGGACACACCTCCGAGAATACACAGGGGTTAAAAAGCAGGGCACTGCCCTTGGATCTCTCTCTTGGGACGTCGCAGCGCAGAGGTC